GGGGGTGGGGGTGCGCTTTCCCTCAGCTGAGTCAGCGTTTTCTTCTGTGCTGATTAGGTTGAGAGAGAAGAGTCTTATTTAACTTTTTTTGTTCATGTCAGACTTCCCTCTAAGTTTTCTTTTTAGGAGGCTGTTTGTAACATATGGAGCCGAGATTTGGTTGATCCAAGTTTTCGGTCAGGGGGAAGGACCGCGTGGAGGGCATAGCACTAGGTTCGGGGTGGGACGGTCCCAGTTTGACGCTCAGCCTCGTCATTTATTCTTTGGGTTTAATCGAATAAACTCCAGAAGTCTTCGAGCGTCTGTCCCTCAGCAGCGAAGCAGAGAGAGTAACACATGTCCTGTGTGGCCCACAGTGAAAGCCTGATGAGTTAATGACATGACGTTGACCCGTAAACTGCACGTATTAGCCATGCCGCCCTCAGAAGAACAAGCAGTGAGGGCCGGTGGGCGGCATCGAGGTAGCTCGAAGGCTAAGACCTGAGCTCCCAGCCAGGGAATCCAGGGGTTCAACTCTTTATCTTAACATCATGGGAGGGGGGCTCAGCCGCTCTCCTCGGCAGCCGTTTTAATCATGTCATCGCCACTATTATATGAGTTAGACGGGCAACGATAGGCCTTGTCTCAGTGTCACAGACGAGGACACCGAGGCTTGGAGGGGGCGGGCGGCTTGCCTCCGGCCCCCGGGGCAGTGAAGGGCAGCGCTCCGCCCTGCAGCCGCCGTGCGCACCGGCCCAGGGACGCAGGGGCGGAGGAGGGCAGCGCGGGAGGCGGCGAGAAGCCGGGCTGCTCCTCTTCCTGCCCTTCAAGAGGCGCCTCCTCCGAGCCCCGATTCCCACCAGAAACCCACCCACGCCATCCGTGGCCGGGCAGACCCGCCAGGACCCAGCCTCTGCTCGCGGCCCGCACCCCGCTGGGGACACTGGCCCCTTTCCGCTTTGTCCCTCCGTCCCTGAGGATAGTAGTGTCTCTCTGCGGTTGCGGATTCCGAGGTGACCACCATCGTTTGGCTTCTCAGCTGTCCTCTCACCTATAAATTGTCTACATTAAATTTCCTCTATTTGAGGTTCTTCGATCTATTGAAACGTCCTGTGTTAGACTTGGACAGTCTTCTGAGTCCGTGTTCTAAACCATCACAGTATTAAGGTTCTGTTCATTCTTCCCCTTGTGGCGACAGCGGCGGGCATAACGCTTCGCCACACGCTGCCCTCCGGCGCGCTCTAGCCGCGTCGCAAGGTCGGGCACAGGGCGGGCTCTCCGAGAGGCTGCTGTGGAGTTGCCAGTTGCTGCCAACTTGTTCCGCTGCTTGTGCCTCCGTCGCCCGTGTGTGTGCGAGGTAGTATCTAGCTTTCCGATTCACCATCGTTCTTGCAGCTTGATCGCTTCTCTAGAAAATAATGTAAGCACAGAAACAGGAGAAACGAAACCCTTCCCCAGCTCTAACCTCAGACCACCTTTCCTTCCGGCGAACTGTCAGCCTTGAGTCGGGGGCCATCTGCGGGGGCATTTCGTTTGGTCAGTGTGTTGGGCCTCCGCGGACGTTTAAAAATCAGCTTCGCACTTAGCCTCATTTACCCTGTTTTATGCATTTATATGTTGGCATATCTCCTGAAGGCATTTGAGCGATGACACCTGCTGAAAAAGATGTCATCTTCCCTTCAAATCCGAGTCAGAAAGCTACTTCTCCCCATGGGGTGGTGGGCTGGGGAAGGCACAGGCTCTGTTCAATGCTGGTTGGCTGAGTTGTCTGTCTCCACCAAACCACCTCGGCGTGAACTGGCGTTTATAGCATCTTCAGGCAACAAGTTTTCTTGGCTTTCTTGCATCTTCCAGGAATGAACAAACATTGTTGACCCTTTAGCGTCCTGAAAATACCGTAGGATTATAAACACTTTATTTGATATTGTGCTCCTTCCAGAGAGAGAGAGAGAGAGAGAGAGAGAGAGAGAGAGAGCGAGAAAGAGAGAGAGTGAATCAATAGAAAGCGGAGGGGACGGAATGCAAAGAAGGGACAAGTGCTGGCTCGATGTCACAGGACTCGTGATCAGGTTGACAGATTGACTAGATAGTCAGACACACAACTGTTCTCTCAAGGAAGAGGTGGGGAAGCACAGAGCAAGTTGGGGGAACAGTGAGGGGTCCAGTTTGGCCAAGGTCTAGTGGACGAGCATGTGGACAGGTTTGCATTTGATCTGTAGACACTCGGGGGCCATACCATGAGTTCAAACAAAAACTAGATTGAAGATTTAAACTATCTAACGTGTTGACCACCCCCCAATACACACACAGCCCCCCAGTAATGACCGGGAAGCACAGCTGAGAAGGTGTGTGCACACCGGCGGGCCAGGGAGCCTGGAGGCAACGCTTGCACAGATCTTTGTGTTTTAAAGACCATTTATGGAATCTGCCTGCACATGACGTCAGCGATGACTCCAGGAGCCTGGCCCCTGGGAGGCAGGCTGGACGGTCACTGGGTCCCAGCCACCTGCCATACCCTCTGCACTTCAGTAGCA